GGATTACAAGCACATCTATACAAAATTGGCCGTGAGGATTCCGACAAATGTAGAGCATGTGGAGAGGACAGCGAAACTCTGTAGCACTTTCTTTGAAACTGTCAGGAAATCGTAGAAGTTAGATCCAAGTATCTTGGAAGTGATGTTATTCCGGAAATAATATTCCTAACTAACACTGATTGGAGATTTTTAGGAAATGCGTCCAGTAAACTTAGTTTCTGAACATTGAAAAATAAACATTTTTTTTCATGAAAAGGAGCGCACAACAGCCCCGATAGTGGACTATACATCCTCCTAATCTAAGGTAATCTTCAACAAATTAGTGTCGATCTGTCCGTAGATGGTGCCTAATTATAGAGAAATTCATTCTATGATAATAACGGTGGAACAGTGATAAACACCCTATTATTGAGATGATGCTCCAGTTAATCAATGGACTTGTATACCAATAAGTACTTACGCTGGATGATAAAACAAATTCCCTTAAAATCCATACTAATAAATCACTAATTAGCTAAATCTTCATACATTAAAATATTAACAAGTTTTAAAATATTCCTGTTATATTCAGAACAATAAATAAAATACAAAATACTTCTTCTATCTATATACTCCAAAAACAATGTTTCTTTTGTAGACATTTCTTAAAGGAGGATGTTAGAAGATAATTCAAACAGTAACAATAAGAAATATTAACAATAATAACAACAACAACTTTAGCAACTCCAAAAAATAACGACAACAACAACTGCCATCTATTGTTGTCTGTACAAATGAGTTGGGTTGTTGTTGTTGTTTTTGCTGTTGTTATAGTTAAGCATACTCGTCGTACTCGTTCTCGTCGAGAAGTAGTCTGATATTTGGTTTAACACTGTCTAGCCAAAGTCTAGACAAGTGCATACCACGAAAAAACAAATGTCGAAAGTAGAAGTATGTTTTTTTTTTCGCCTGTCTGTCCGTCTTTCCGTATGTATGGGTGGTTGGTTGAATGAATATAAATGTTTGGAGTTAAATATCTGTATGTGATTATGTGAGAGAGTTCCTGTGTGCTTGCATTGTAGTATGTATGTTATGTTGCAACAATGCTGACAACAATAACAAAAAAGAACGGCAACAACAATAACTACTATGGCAGCTACAACATATTTCAAATACGAGTTGAACTTATACTTCAGGATATTTTGTTGAAGGGGGATCTTCATATAATTCAATACAAGTACATTTATAGTTCAGTTCTAGTTCAGTTCTAGTTCAGTTCTAGTTCAGTTCTAGTTCTAGTTCAGTTCTAGTTCAGTTCTAGTCAGTTCTAGTTCAGTTCTAGTTCAGTTCTAGTTCAGTTCTTGTTCAGTTCTAGTCCAGTTCCAGTTCAATTCTAGTTCAGTTCTAGTTCAGTTCTAGTTCAGTTCTAGTCAGTTCTAGTTCAGTTCTAGTTCAGTTCTAGTTCAGTTCTAGTTCAGTTCTAGTTCAGTTCTAGTTCAGTTCTAGTTCAGTTCTAGTTCAGTTCTAGTTCAGTTCTAGTTCAGTTCTCTAGTTAAGTTCTAGTTCAGTTCTAGTTCAGTTCTAGTTCAGTTCTAGTTCAGTTCTAGTTCAGTTCTAGTTCAGTTCTAGTTCAGTTCTAGTTCAGTTCTAGTTCAGTTCTAGTTCAGTTCTAGTTCAGTTCTAGTTCAGTTCTAGTTCAGTTCTAGTTCAGTTCTAGTTCAGTTCTAGTTCAGTTCTAGTTCAGTTCTAGTTCAGTTCTAGTTCAATTCTAGTTCAGTTCTAGTTCTAGTTCAGTTCTAGTTCAGTTCTAGTTCAGTTCTAGTTCAGTTCTAGTTCAGTTCTAGTTCAGTTCTAGTTCAGATCTAGTTCAGTTCTAGTTCAGTTCTAGTTCAGTTCTAGTTCAGTTCTAGTTCAGTTCTAGTTCAGTTCTAGTTCAGTTCTAGTTCAGTTCTTGTTCAGTTTTGTTTAGTTCTAGTTCAGTTCTAGTTCAGTTCTAGTTCAGTCTAGTTCAGTTCTAGTTCAGTTCTACTTCAGTTCTAGTTCAGTTCTAGTTCAGTTCTAGTTCAGTTCTAGTTCAGTTCTAGTTCAGTTCTAGTTCAGTTCTAGTTCAGTTCTAGTTCAGTTCTAATTCAGTTCTAGTTCAGTTCTAGTTCAGTTCTAGTTCAGTTCTAGTTCAGTTCTAGTTCAGTTCTAGTTCAGTTCTAGTTCAGTTCTAGTTCAGTTCTAGTTCAGTTCTAGTTCAGTTCTAGTTCAGTTCTAGTTCAGTTCTAGTTCAGTCCTAGTTCAGTTCTAGTTCAGTTCTAGTTCAGTTCTAGTTCTAGTTCAGTTTCTAGTTCTAGTTTGTTCTAGTTCAGTTCTAGTTCTAGTTCAGTTCTAGTTCTAGTTCAGTTCTGGTTCAGTTCTAGTTCAGTTCTAATTCAGTTCTAGTTCAGTTCTAGTTCAGTTCTAGTTCAGTTCTAGTTCAGTTCTAGTTCAGTTCTAGTTCAGTTCTAGTTCAGTTCTAGTTCAGTTCTAGTTCAGTTCTAGTTCAGTTCTAGTTCAGTTCTAGTTCAGTTCTAGTTCAGTTCTAGTTCAGTTCTAGTTCAGTTCTAGTTCAGTTCTAGTTCAGTTCTAGTTCAGTTCTAGTTCAGTTCTAGTTCAGTTCTAGTTCAGTTCTAGTTCAGTTCTAGTTCAGTTCTAGTTCAGTTCTAGTTCAGTTCTAGTTCAGTTCTAGTTCAGTTCTAGTTCAGTTCTAGTTCAGTTCTAGTTCAGTTCTAGTTCAGTTCTAGTTCAGTTCTAGTTCAGTTCTAGTTCAGTTCTAGTTCAGTTCTAGTTCAGTTCTAGTTCAGTTCTAGTTCAGTTCTAGTTCAGTTCTAGTTCAGTTCTAGTTCAGTTCTAGTTCAGTTCTAGTTCAGTTCTAGTTCAGTTCTAGTTCAGTTCTAGTTCAGTTCTAGTTCAGTTCTAGTTCAGTTCTAGTTCAGTTCTAGTTCAGTTCTAGTTCAGTTCTAGTTCAGTTCTAGTTCAGTTCTAGTTCAGTTCTAGTTCAGTTCTAGTTCAGTTCTAGTTCAGTTCTAGTTCAGTTCTAGTTCAGTTCTAGTTCTAGTTCAGATCTAGTTCAGTTACTAGTCAGTTCGAGTTCAGTTCTAGTTCAGTTCTAGTTCAGTTCTGTTCAGTCGAGTTCAGTTCTAGTTCAGTTCTCGGTCAGTTCTAGTTCAGTTATAGTTCAGTTCTAGTCAGTTTAGTTCAGTTCTAGTTCAGTTCTAGTTCAGTTCTAGTCGTTTCTAGTTCATTTCTAGTTCAGTTATCGTTTCAGTTCTAGTTCAGTTCAGTTCAGTTCTAGTTCAGTTCTAGTTATTCAGTTCTAGTTCAGTCGTCTAGTTCAGTTCTAGTTCAGTTCTAGTCGTTCTAGTTCAGTTTAGTTCAGTTTCTAGTTCAGTTCTAGTTCAGTTCTAGTTCAGTTCTAGTTCAGTTCTAGTTCAGTTCTAGTTAGTTCTCGTTCAGTTCTGTCAGTTCTAGTTCAGTTCTAGTTCAGTTCTAGTTCAGTTCTAGTTCAGTTCTAGTTCAGTTCTAGTTTTCAGTTCTAGTTCAGTTCTAGTTCAGTTCTAGGTCAGTTTAGTTCAGTCTCTTCAGTCTGTTCAGTTCTAGTTCAGTCTGTTCAGTTCTCCAAATATCCTGTCCAAATACCTTTAAACAAATTTCCCACCAACTGTATCCTGTTATGGGATGACTTTGTTTTTTATTTTCGCCTTGTGATTTTTTGTAGTTGTTGGCTGGATGGTTGACTGTATTGTGTATGAGAGTTGGTATTTTTTGTTTCTTTTTGTTTTTTGTGAAGCATAAATTTTAGCAGTAGCATTAAAATCCTTGCAGGCATTACTACTATGTGTAGGTGTTTTGAAAAATATACTTTTTATAAAAGGTACAGAGAACTTAGATGGGTGGGAAAGGAGGTAGTGTAACATATTGGTAAGGGATGAGCATAAATGTTAACTTTCAGACTATGATTGGGCAAAAAAATTTGCATGTTTTTCATTTGCTTTTTTTAATTTGTATTCCTTTTTTGCCCTCGAATGCTGTTTTGCCAAATTTGAATGGCATATTTGTATTTGCATTTGAATTTATATGTATTTAGTGTTGTTTTTTATATAGTACTAAAACGGAAACAGACAATTGTTGTTGAGCTTAAGCAACACTAAACCTAAACAAAAATTTACAAAAAAAAAAATAAAAATAAACAAACGAACAAAAACATATTTTCAATGTCCAGACACAGTGATTTGTTATATTCAATGTTGGGTACAAAATTTTTACGAATAATGTTGTATATAAAAGGGAACAATTTGCAATTATCACAGATTATTGTCCTTATTAGAATAATTTAGGATAATTAACATTAAGATAGTGAAAATATTTCTAATAGAAATCTGATAAGATTTACGATTGAAATGTGTTAAGTTTTCCTATTGAAATCTAAATAGAAGTCTGATAAGATAACGCATAAGTTTTTGGCCCTCCTTTTAGTCAATGGTTTGACCTAACCGTTCTCTTGAAATGCATGTACTTCTTTATTTTTCAATTTAATTTTAAAAATCTTTTAAATATTTTACTATTTGCTAAAATACAGAAAAAAAAGAAACCATATAGTAGAACAAAATCAAATAGCAACTAAAATAGATTTAAATAAACACATAGTATTGTGAATAGATTCATCTGTATTATATTATGTTGGCATTACGTACCAGAAAGAGTATCATGCGAGTAGACAGCTTGACGCTGTTCAAATGCAATAAAATTAAACAAAAAATAAATAAAAATTACTTTTAGAATGAATTGAAAAGAAATCAACAAACAAATGTGAATTTAAATTCATTGCAACAACAACAAATACATTTACCCCCAACCGCAAGAACACAACCACAACAACGTCGTAGTCGTCGAAGCAACAATAAAACGTTCTAGTTTCTTGACGAATGTGTTGTCAGATTTTATTTATAGACAAGAAAGACATATAAAATGAAATGAAACACATTTGCATGAAAATACGGTTTTTTGTAAAAAAAAGATCCAAAATATTTTTTTTTATTCTAATTTCTTAAAGGAAAAGTTTTATTAAGCTTTTCCTTAAGCTTAGATTAAAACCAAACAAATATTAACAATAAAATTTCTTTATTGGTCTTAGAATTATTTATTTCTATAAAACAAAATATTTATATAATTCTATTAATAATAAAACTACAGTGTATTGTTTAGCTTTACATAGTTCTAAATAGTTTTTCCTTAAATGGATTTGGTAATTGATCTAATAATGTTAAGGGATTCACACTGACCGCCACTAGTTCATCGGGAGTTAACCAGCATAAACTTATTAAATGCTAAAGGAAAAGAATAAATAATTTAAATTAATTTAAAATTTCTTAAAACAAATCTTACAAATTTTAAAAGAAATCTGTCAAGTTGTGCAAGAGAAATATCTTAATATTTTCTGAAGAAATTTGAAGAGAAACTGAAAAGATTTCCAAGAGAAATCAGATTACATTTCCAGGAGAAATCTGATAAGATTCCCAAGAGAAATTTTAAAAGGCTTCCAAGAGAAATCTGAAGAGATGTCCAAGAAGAATCTGAATAGATTTCCAACAGACATCTCCCAAGATAAATTTTATGAGATTTTTAAGAGAACTGTGAATAGATTCCCTAGAGAAATCTGAAGAGATTTCCAAATAAAATCCTATGAGATTTCAAAGAGAAATCAGATGAGATTTCCAACAGAAATCAGAAGAGATTTCCAGCAGAAATCTGAAGAGATCTCCAGGAAAAATCTAAAGATATTCCCAAGATGAATCTAAAGATATATTCAAGAGAAATCTGAAAAGATTTTCAAAAGAAATCTGGAGAGATGTTCCAAAGAAATCTAAAGAGATTTTCAAGAGAAATCTGATGCGATTCCCAAGAGAAATATGAAGAGATTTCTAACAGAAAACTAAAGAGATTCAAAAGAAAAATCTGATGAGATGTCTAAGAGAAATCTGATGAAATTTCCGGGAGAAATCTGGTAAGATTATCAAGTGAAATCTGACGAGATTGCCAAGAGAAATCTGTTAAGACTTGCAGAGAAATCTGATGAGATTCACAAGAGAAATGTCTTTTCCATGATCTCCTAAAGAAATCTCTCGAGTTCCCAAAAAAATCTTAAAAAATTTCTTAAAGAAATTTCGAATAATTTCCTCAAGAAATCTTTGATGTTTTTTAAAGAAATCTTGTAAAATTTCCTTGAGAAATTTCCTTGGAAAATAGAAATCTGAAAAGATTTCCAAGAGAAAGCTGAAGAGATGTCCAGGAAGAATCTGAATAGATTTCCAACAGACATCTGAATAGACTCCCAAGATAAATTTTATGAGATTTTTAAGAGAAGAGATTCCCGAGAGAAATCTGAAGAGATTTCCAAATAAAATCCTATGAGATTTCAAAGAGAAATCAGATGAGATTTCCAGCAGATCTCCAGGAAAAATCTAAAGATATTCCCAAGATGAATCTAAAGATATATCCAAGAAAAATCTGAAAAGATTTTCAAAAGAAATCTGAAGAGATGTTCAAAAGAAATCTAAGGAGATTTTCAAGAGAAATCTGATGCGATTTCCAAGAGAAATCTGAAGAGATTTGTAACAGAAAACTAAAGAGATTCAAAAGAAAAATCTGATGAGATGTCTAAGAGAAATCTGATGAAATTTCCGGGAGAAATCTGGTAAGATTATCAAGTGAAATCTGACGAGATTGCCAAGAGAAATCTGTTAAGACTTCCAGAGAAATCTAATGAGATTCACTAGAGAAATATCTTTTCCATGATCTCCTAAAGAAATCTTTTCGATTTCCCAAATAAATCTTAAAAAATTTCTTAAAGAAATTTCGAATAATTTCCTCAAGAAATCTTTGATATTTTTTAAAGAAATCTTGGAAAATTTCCTTGAGAAATTTCCTTGGAAAATAGAAATCTTTAAAAGATTTTCCGTAAATATTTCTCTAGAAAATCGTTTAAAAATTTCTCTCTCTTTCAAACCATTTCTATACAAAATCTACAAAAAATATTAAAGATTTCTCTCAAAAAAAATCTATAAAATTAATATTTATTAAAAATTACCTCAAATGTCTTTTCCATTTTTAATTTCAAATCATCCACTTGTATATCATCGGATTTTTCAATTTTTGATTTTTTCAAAGATTTTTTATTTGAATTTTCCATTAAAGCCTCATCCAGTTTATCCTGTTGCCGACACTTTTCCAACACATACATTTTGGCATCGTTTTGCATGACAAATATATTCGGATTGCGTGCATCTAAAACTATATTGGTAATACAAAAGTCTTCGGAATTCGAGACAAAACGATCATAAGCCGAGCAGGTGAAACACATTTCTTCCATGTCATATTCAAATATTTTGCCATCACCAAAGGCGGCCACAATACGGGGTTGTTCTGCATGTATGGCTAAAGCTGTAGTGGCAGCTGTATAACGTGGCAGATTGAGTAGATGTTTAAAGTGTTTTCCCTGGTAAACAGACCAAACGGCAATAGTGCGATCGGCACTGGCTGCTACTATATAGGAACCACATAGTGAAACAGAAAATAATTTAATGCTGTCCTTAATATGTTTACTGGTATCAATGCATTCTACAAAATCCAAAGGCGGACAGGAACTGTAATTTAAGTCAGTATCTGTGGGCATGATTATGGAAAATATCAAAATCTGTTTAGTTTCACGATTAACCATTATCAAACGCATAGAATCAGCTATAAAAGTGACATGTGATGCTGGTGCAAATTGTTCAGGTAAATCTTTAACACGTATTAATTGTGTGGCCTGTGTGGATGTGCCCGGTATAAATTGAAATAAACGTATTTCCTTCTGTGTTGAATAACACAACCAACGTCCGTTTGGTGACAAAGCTGCACAAACGATGGCCTCTGCATTTTTACTTTTAAGTTCAAGCAATTTTTCGGGTACTGTATCAAGCGAAAGAAATTTTGTTTTTGTTTTATTTTCATTTTCTTGATTGCCATACATTAACTCTTGTTGTCCTAAAGAGGAGCCCATACGCCAGATTTCCAAATAGTTGGTATAACGTAGCAGTAACAGTCGTTTTTCAGGAGCGACAGTGGCACAAGGTTGCTAAGATAAAATGTTTATATTGAATACTTTTTTTTTTTTTTTTTTTTTTTTGAGTGGAATTGGAAAATGTTATAATGATGGATGTTTTAAAGCCATTTCAAAGGTTTGAGATTTAAAGCACAAAACAAACAATAACTTATAAAGTTTACGGGATGAAAGGATTAATAATGATTAAAATTAAAATATGATTTAAGTAACAGAAATAATTTGCAAATCTTAACCGAAAAACATTGTTAGTATAAAGCTTATCAGTTTTATTTTACCCCTAGAATTTATATCATAAATAAAGAATTTTTATTACAACTTGTCGAAAATTAATAAAGGACAATAATGTGTGATTTATAAGATTTACGAAAAAAAAAATGGAGAAAAGAAATTGTTTTGTCGTTAAATATATCTATGCACCCAACATTAATATAAATCGCAGGACTGACCATGTAAACTTTATTATCAAACTAGAACTCGAAGTTAATTAATATAGAAATGAAGTAGAACTGAACTAAAATTGAACAAGAACTAAACTAGAACTGAACTGAACTAGAACTGAACTAGAACTGAACTAGAACTGAACTAGAACTGAACTAGAACTGAACTAGAACTGAACTAGAACTGAACTAGAACTGAACTAGAACTGAACTAGAACTGAACTAGAACTGTACTAGAACTGAACTAGAACTGAACTAGAACTGAACTAGAACTGAACTAGAACTGAACTAGAACTGAACTAGAACTGAACTAGAACTGAACTAGAACTGAACTAGAACTGAACTAGAACTGAACTAGAACTGGACTAGAACTGAACTAGAACTGAACTAGAACTGAACTGAACTAGAACTGAACTAGAACTGAACTAGAACTGAACTAGAACTGAACTAGAACTGAACTAGAAATGAACTAGAACTGAACTAGAACTGAACTAGAACTGAACTAGAACTGAACTAGAACTGAACTAGAACTGAACTAGAACTGAACTAGAACTGAACTAGAACTGAACTAGAACCGAACTAGAACTGAACTAGAACCGAACTAGAACTGAACTAAAACTGAATTAGAACTGAACTAGAACTAGAACTGAACTAGAACTGAACTAGAACTGAGCTAGAACTGAACTAGAACTGAACTAGAACTGAACTAGAACTGAACTAGAACTGAACTAGAACTGAACTAGAACTGAACTAAACTAGAACTAGAACTGAACTAGAACTGAACTTGAACTGAACTAGAACTGAACTAGAACTGAACTAGAACTGAACTGGAACTGAACTAGAACTGAACTAGAACTGAACTAGAACTGAACTAGAACTGAACTAGAACTGAACTAGAACTGAACTAGAACTGAACTAGAACTGAACTAGAACTGAACTAGAACTGAACTAGAACTGAACTAGAACTGAACTAGAACTGAACTAGAACTGAACTAGAACTGAACTAGAACTGAACTAGAACTGAACTAGAACTGAACTAGAACTGAACTAGAACTGAACTAGAACTGAACTAGAACTGAACTAGAACTGAACTAGAACTGAACTAGAACTGAACTAGAACTGAACTAGAACTGAACTAGAACTGAACTAGAACTGAACTAGAACTGAACTAGAACTGAACTAGAACTGAACTAGAACTGAACTAGAACTGAACTAGAACTCAACTAGAACTCAACTAGAACTGAACTTGAATTGCAATAGATCTGAACTGAACTAGTAAATAACTAGAACTGAATTAGATAAAGATCTAGAGACACCGAAGCACTTGTTTTTTTTTCTGCAAGATATAAAATTTAGTTTTTAATGGTTTATCAAATTTTGTTGATGATTCTATTGTTTAACTCTCATGATTTTAAATTGTATCTCCTTCAGTAATAATTCTCGTGATAATGATGTCTCTTAGTTAAAAATTATTTTTTTCTCAGATAAAATAACTAACTTTTGCGAAGTGCTTTTAGCTTTAACCAATATAAATTATAAAGCGCTTAATGACAATGAAAATTAATGAAAATATCGACACTCACCTGCAGAAATGGTCCATATTTAACAATTTTCGATTGAGTCTTACTGGCCGACGATACACCCAAATAGCCATCAATACCACCCGAATAAATATTATCCTGCACGCACAACAAAGCCTTAACATCGTGATCATGAACACGACGTTGTAAAAATTTCACCCATCTATTGTAGACCATGTCATCACGTTGAATACGTGTCTTAGAATAAATCCTGATGGTGGGCTCTATGCCGGCACAAAACAATTTATTTTCTTCCTCATCGACAGCAACAGTCAAAACATCTGCCTTCATAGCCTGATGCGATTCAATTTGTGTAGCATTTTTACCATCCCAAATGGAAATGTAACCACGCGAATCACCCGATATAATAGTGAAATCCGCAAGTACTTGTATAGACCAGATTATGGTTTCTTGGGGATTTGCTTTGTTTTGTTTGGCGGTGAGGGTCATTTTGTTTATAGCATGGCCCGTACGTTTATTCCAAATGCGTATGGCACCCATAGAGCCGGTAACAAGGTAGTCTCCTGTAGCATCAAAGCGACAGCAGAGTACTCTGCCTTCCTGTTTATCAAACAGATTTTTATATTGGAATTGGTTGTCGGATATATCAAAGATATTGATATAACCCTCCTCAGTGCCTATGGCAATTTCTGTGCCGGCACGATTTACATCCAAACACCAAATGGCATTACCCGTGACATGTTGCTTGTAACGAGGCTTTAAGGTTTGTAAATTCCATTCCACTAACTCACCACTAAGACCAGCACTGAATAACCTGTCGGCACACCAGGCTAAACCCTCAACCGAATTGCCGGGAGTTTTGGTGATAGTGCGTTCAAGGCAGGGAGCATTGGCCATATCCCATATCTCAATGGAACCATCATTTCTTTAGAAAACATTAACAAAATGATAACTTGTATGCATAAAATCATAATTTTTTATGTAGCTTACCTGGACAAGGCTAATTTTTTCCATATTTTATTAAACGCCATGGTTTGTATGGAACGCGGAGATAAATTGTAAAAACGCACATTATGTATTTGTGTGCGACCCGCGGGTTTATCCACAGATTGTTTAGATTTTTTCATTTTCATTATATTTTTTAATAGTTTATAATAAAAATTAGTTCTTTATATTTTAATTTTATTAAAAATTTGTGGCAAAATTTACAACACACGTGTTGATAGTTGAAGAAATAATGTATAAAGCAGAATATAAACAAAAACAAACCATTTTTGATGAATTTCACAGCAAATAGCTTTTGTATATATAATGTTCACAGTAAAAACTTTTACTCAAAGAGTCGATTGTTCGACTTATAGTTCGATTTTTTTAAGAGAATAGTGTTTTCACAAAAAGAAATTAAAATTCTATTGAAATACAAAAACAATTTGTGATAATTTGTAAAATTTTTTTGTTATTGAAGTCATATTATTTTATTGCAAAAAAGCTGGTATATTAAAAGAAAAAAGTCGACTTTGTTTGTCGCCGGCGGTTGCAATTGTATTCATTGCTGCAACCCTTAATATATATTTATCTTTTTTGTTTTACAATTCATTCATAAAATTTTTGGAGAAAGAAGCAGAGAAAGAAAATATACACTTTTCCCTAAAATTTTACCAAAGAACACTAATTCAATTAATAAAAATATCAAGGATTTATTAATCCTGTTACAAAATTAAATTATTAATAAGTTGCTGACAAATAAAACATGAAACAATTGTAAAGCAGAAAATTGCAAGACTCCTTTACACATTAGTAAACAATTACTAAAATACTCCAGACACAAAATGGATTATTCAAGTTTTCAAAAATTTATTAAATGTAAGTAGATATCCATAAAAAATCGAATATCATTTTGAAAGTAAAATTTTGCAAATATTCGCAGTAATTTGGTTACTTTTGGCCACACCCTCTATGTTGCCTTGGGGAGATGCTGCTGCTTCTAGGGTATTTGAGCTCTCCGATCGCTTTATAGATGTGCGTCATGAGGGTCAATGGTTAGTAATGTTCTATGCTCCCTGGTGTGGCTACTGCAAACGTACCGAACCGGTTTTTGCTCTAGTGGCTCAGGCCCTGCATGCCACCAATGTTAGAGTGGGTCGCTTAGATTGCACAAAGTATCCCGCCGCCGCTCGTGAATTTAAAGTACGTTCCTATCCCACTATAATGTTTATTAAGGGCAACATGGAATACACCTATAGTGGTGATCGCAGTAAAGATGAGTTGGTAGATTATGCCCTGCGTATGAGTGGCCCACCTGTACAGTTAGTAACACGCACTGAAAGTGTGGACATGCTTAAAGGTTCACATACCATATTCTTTATGTTTGTGGGTTCGCAGGAGGGTGTGGTATGGGATACATTTTATGCTGCCGCTGAAAATTATCAGGAACATGGTTTCTTTTATGCCACTTCGGAAGATGTGGCGGCGCAACACTTTGAATTCGAAAAACTTCCAGCGGTTATAGTCTACAAAGAAGAGCAACATCATTTCTATCCACATGCTCATGTGGCTCATGAAATGGACCCCTTAACTGTTAACGAAACCATTCATCAGTGGGTGAACCAAGAACGTTTCATAGCTTTTCCCAAAATAACTAGGTTTAACATAAATCAGCTATTAAAAACTAATAAATATTTAGTGGTGGCTGTGGTGTCAGAAGATAAACTTAGCCAGGTGGCTACTCATGAACTGGAGTTTCGTGATATGGTGGAAAATGTTATACGTAAACATCGTGATCGTTATCATGATAAATTTCAGTTCGGCTGGGTAAGTTTACTTCAAACTACAAATTTTTTCTTTTTATTTATTTTTACCCTTATCCTACAGATTGGTGATCCCAGCATAACGCACTCCATTATCATGGATGAACTGCCTACACCCCATTTAATAGTTATTAACTCCACTACCCAACAGCACTATCTACCCGATGATGACCCTTTGCAAATGACTCCTCAAGCTTTACACATATTCCTGGAAGCTATACACAATGAAAGTGCCATTGCTTTGGGCGGTGACACCTATTTTGTGCGCCTCAATCGTGCTTTATTTGAAGGCAAAAAAGCTCTTATAGAAATGTGGCGTGGTAATCCGGTATTGACTTCTGTCATATTTGGTTTACCTTTAGGATTTCTATCCTTGATACTATATTCCATATTCTGTGGTGACTGTTTGGTAGCCGAGGATGAGGAAGATGATCATGAAAAGAAAGAATAATTACTTAAAGCCAAACATACTAGATCAAGAAAAGCTACATTAGCTGACCTGTTAGTAAAAGTAGTTAAAAAAAATTGATTAAGTGGTTTGTAAATGCCAAAATTTCTAGTCCAATTTTTGCTCTTCTCCATTGAAAAGATCTCAGCGGAAAGAAAAATCTCCAATTTTCAGTTTCAGTTTACAAAAAATCTCATTCTCTGTACTTTCTTTATATTTTTTCTTTTCTTTTTTTAGTTAATAAGATAAAAATCAAGTTTTGCAAAAAGATAGAAATAAAATCCTTAAAAAAACAACTCATCATTGCATTTTAAACATTCCTAAAAAAAAACAAACGAATGAAGGAAGCTAAAAATCATTTTCCTTGTTTGTGAGAGAGTTTACACAGTAAAATTACAATTTTATCAGCAGCCATAGTCATCATCATCGTCGGAGTCGATGGCAGCACGACGTCTATCATATTTAACAGTACTTTTACTTTGTGGCATTTGAGCATTAATACTCTCCAAAATATTTACAAATTGAGCATCATCGAGTTTACCACGGAGTTGGCCAGATTGAGCCATTCTTATGACCATATTTTCAAACATGGCTGCCTTTTCGGGTTTGCTAATTTTTAATGTATTTACTGGAATAATGGACAGTAAAATAGAGGTTGATTTTTCAATGTTTGATTGTTTTGGAAATGATTATTTTACTTACATCTAGCTCTAGCTTGTTGGTCCAATACCTGAGATAATATGGAGTGTTTCATTTCATCTTGCTGGCGCATTTGTTCCTCCTGAGCTTTTTGTTTCTCAGCTGCATTGCCACCACCGCCGCCACCCTATTTTTTGGGGAAAAAATTTAAGATTGTCATTTCTGGAGATTTTTTATAATAGTTAGGACTATTACTTAATCTGTCGAGTCTTTAGTGTTAACTATAATTTAGTTTATAGTGTGAATTGAATATAGTCAAGTCTATATTTTGATCTATTACCAAGTATGTGAATTCGACTAGACTGTACCATAGAATATAAAGGATAATAGCCTAGTGTACACATAGTATTGTGCATAGTCTAAAGTAAGATTCTATCAAGCCATGGGTTAAGCCGCTTCTATAATGCACATGGACACAAATATAGACCTGACATAATGGCTGACACTTTATCGCTTACTTTACTCTACGCTACGACTTCTTTCCAGGTAACCACTTTAAAGACTTCAGAACGTTTTACAAATGATTTTCTAAATAATCAACCAAACTCCAAACACATTAAGACCCCCCCCACCAACCTACTATGACTCACATTTTCATTATAGATTTTTCCAAATACTATATTTCAAACAATTTTTAAATATTTTTCATTTTCTCCATCATTTTGACCATATAAAGTAATGAAATTGAACATTCCCTTTACCCTGCCAATAATTTTCCCTAACATGTGTGACTCTTTCAAGATTAAAATAAACCAAATTGTAGGCAGCGCAAATTATTGACCGGTCGTTGACTTAAGAAATTCAAACATCCTGGAAATACTTACAAATTGTGACTGCATTTGAGCCATACGCTGGGCACGAATTGCATCCAAATCACTATCAGCCATTTCGTTTGATTATTTTGTGTAAATTTTTATTAAAAAACTGGCAAAATTTATTTTGCAAAAAAATTATTATAAAATTTCTTCTTCCACTTCGCAGTGTTGAATCTGTTATAAACAATTCACAGGTAATTGTTAGCTTGTCACAGTTGTCATTAGTGAAGTTGAAAGTTATCAATTTATGTGAATGTTTGTGGGGATTTTTCTTGTTACAAAAGCGGGGAAAATAAAAGGTATTATACTTTTAGGAATGTTTATTTTTAGTGACCGTTAAAATATTTTTTTCAAAATATTTTTATTAAAAATGAAAAAATAATGAAACATTTTAGTAAGTAGAAAGGACTATTTGGAAATGATTTGTTGTAAAAATGGATAATAAAATGAACATTTCCATGTTTAACTTAGATTGTATCAATTCATTACCGAGTATTTCGCATTTATTAAAACAGTTTGGAAGTGTTTGTTTAAATAACATAATTTTTTATTTGGAGTTAATAAATATATTCAATTTGTTGTATATTTTTAATGAATTTGAGATAAAGTGAAGCAAATATGGAATGGAACACGTAATAATAATGGCAAATGTAAATAAATAATTATATAATAAGAACTTTAAGATCTTAGAAAGCTAAGCAGTCTAAATATAAATACTAATAATTAACAAAATAAAAATTAAATAATAACAAATACTACTAAAAAGAAAAACTCAACAAAAAATTGCCAGGTAAGGAATTTAAAAATTATAAATATAATAAAAAAACTAGATACACTTTGGCCTTAAGAAAAGCTAGCTACACTTAAATGCTGCCATTGACCCTGTAAATAAAAACCAAATAAATAACATTTCTACAAAACTTTAACAGAGATCAACTTACGGGAATGCCTATATTCCAGCCCGAACCAGCTGGATTATCTTTGCTAATACCACAACGTTTGCAGATCACACCATTCAAAGCCACCGCCCAGACTTCAGAGCCCACCGAGACAGATTTGAAACCAATATGGGTGTCGGTGTGAGGTGCTATATTTGGCATATTTGTTAGAAACTGCCAATGTGAACCTTCGGGAAAGGTTTTTGTTATCTCCTTGCGTACGGCCAAACGATTGCTGCAGTCCAAGGCCCAAATGCCTGCTTGGCCTACAGAAATGGCCTTAAATTTAACACCCGCCGGGGCCTCAATAGTTTGCCAGGCGTCACCTTTATATTTAAAATTTTAATAAAACTTTTCCATTTAAATATTTCCTCACACTTACCCAAAGGATTATGTTGTGTTATACCATAACGATAGAAAATGGTGCCATTTTTACCCACCACCCATACTTGTCCCGTGGGCGTTACTCCTATACCAATTAAAGGCTGTTCACTGGCTATATGTTCCCAGTTGTCACCCTTGGGATTGAGGGAAGTTACAC